GACAGGAGAAAGAAAGAGGCGGGAGTATTAGGTAAAAAAGGCAGGAATAATCTTGATACATTGCATTACAAGGGAACCTCATAGTTCCCTTCGTCCGGTTAGATCCCACAGGCTGGGCCTCCTTCGGGTCCCGTTGGCCAAGCAGTGCCATTTGGCGGGGCCGCGGAGGAGGGCTTTCTCTGTGATAGCGCCCACATCTTGGAACCAGCTCCCCCCGGAGATTAGGACTGCTCCCACCCTGTTGGTTTTCCATAAGCTGCTTAAGACCTGGCTTTTCCGGCAGGCCTGGGGTTTATAAAATCTCCTGCGGGAGTGGGACGGTTTATAAATTTATAAAAAAATAAAATAAAATTGTGATCTTCTTTAATTCTTTGTCTTCTAGTCTACTATCCCCTGGTCCTGCCACAACATTATTCACACATATATTAAAGCATAAAAAAATCATTAAAAAAAGAAACTGAACACCTTGATTTTGGCTGCTCAAGAGCAAGTTATTCAAACAAATGTAAGGGCAGAATTGAAAAACCATCAAATGATTCAAAGGGCAGCTTGTGCAAAGGAGCAGAATAAACAGTAGATCGTATACTCATGCAAGAAGATCACACAAACTAGTTATAAACAATGACACAACACATTTGCAAAATGATCTACTGGAATATTTGTAAAAATTATATCTTCTTTATACCTCTTATAATTTTAAAAAGCAAAAGCAACCATGTTGATGAAAAACATTGAAAATCCAAAAATCAATCAATCAGGGATTAGATATACTCTTAGAAGAATATTGAGAAAATCTAGAGTCATGCAAATTGGATTGTATTGGGTATAAAAATTGCCCCAAGGAAGACTCTCCCAAAGTTTTCCGCGAAGAAGAAACAAGCAAATAAAAATGGTTGGCCTTCAATTTTTGTAGATGAAAAAAGGCCAACTTTCACATTCTAGACCAATTCTGTAACTACCTAAACAAGGGAGAAAAGAATTTCTAACTGCCTTAAGTCCACCAATGAAATCTTGAAGGCCCGATATAGTCATATGGGCCAGCTGCCCAACTTCTATTGTCAAAACAGATGGAAAGTGTTTATTGAAGTCTCCTGTGTCTTCTTAAAGTCATGCCTCATCCATTTGGAGGTTCTGGCATGCTAAGGGCTCACTTACAGAGCAGAGAGACCTGACTGGGACATATTGCAGGATTCTACATGCTGGAATGCAAGTCAGAGTTTTTGGCATAGGAGTGGTATTCATTCTGTTCTCCAATCAAATTTTTCAAAGTGTTATGGTAATGATGGGGGATCATGCTCTTTTGGTCCACTCTTTCCTAATTTGGTTGTGGTGCCTTGAATTCTTAGGAGTGACATTCACAAAAGATCTGAAGGGCACCAAGTTAAGGAAGACTCCCTGTTGTTTCTCAAAGATGAATCAGCATTCAGGTGATGTTTTCCAAAGCTGCTGGTAAGAACAGAAATGCACCTAATGGCTAATTGTCACCTCTGAGGAATTTCTCACCATTTATTATGATGCAGTGCTGAAGTTAGTTTCCAGTTTCTTATATGTCTGAACAGCCACACATAGGTACTAATTGTCATCTGTCTATGGATTATTTTGCTTTCTGCAAAAATGAAGTTTTTATTAGAAATATAATTGCCTTCTGGAGTAAGGGGATAATGTGATACGGCAGGTTAATGACTGGTTCAGTTTTGAAACTTTATATAAATAAGACACTGGAAAATAGCCAATATTGCTTTCATAATTCTGTTTTTTAGAAGCAGAGCTCAGAACCTAGTCATACATTGGCATAAACTTGATAAAATATTTTCTGTTTACTATTAGTGGATTTTCTGAACCTTGGGCATGCCATTTAAATTATGAATAAATGAGTCACTCCATAACAAAACCTTCAATGTCAACTAATATTAAATGGATTTTGAAATAGATCTTGAGAAAAGTAGTCTCCATATTAAAGATCCAGAGATAGAATGGAGCAAACATGCTTACGGTAAAGCTAAACTGAGATTGCACTTGTGACCTGCTGACCAAATTAAGCTAAAATTCACAATAACCACAGAATAAAGCATGTGGGTGATGGCTGGAGCATATTATACAGGAAAGTGGCTTAAAATGTAAGAGGAATAAATGGTAAAAAGCATGAATTAACTAATAAAATGAAAGAGGGATCAAACTGGTAGGTTGTGTGCCTGCAAAACTCTGAGAAAGGGGAAGAACAAAGATCTCTAGACAAGAATAACTCATTACTTCATGTACAGCCTGTTCCATTGGTTGATAGCTTATGCAGACAGAAACTTCTTTTGATGTCTAGCATGAACTGCTTTCCTTATACTTTTGGCCCAGTGATCTGGACCTGGTCTCAGTGTAATAAAGAATAAGACTGCTACCGTGTGAAAACTTTTCAAATATTTGAAGGTTGCTGTCATATCAACTTTTTTGTAGGCTAAATGTATCCAGGAATTAACTATTCCTCACAGACTTTGGTTTCCAGACCTCTCATTATCTTAGCAGCCATCCTTTGGAATGCTCCAGTCTGCCACTATTCTTTTCCAACTTAGTCATGGTATTCCAAAGGGATTCTAAAGCAGGACAGAGTGGTATAGTAATGTCTTGTAATCTGGATACTATGGTCCTGTTAATCCATCCCAAAATATCATTTGTGATATTAGGAAGGGTTTTTTTTTTCAGTGATGGTTCATGTTTAACTTGGATTCAACAAGGACATTCATCCCTTCCTTATGTTCTATTGCCATCTTATATTTGTACCTTATGTTTTTTCTACCCAGATGCAAAATTGTACAGCAAAATTTCACATCTTATTCATCTAAAGCATCTAGATTCCATCCTCCCAGTTTTTTATCCTCTGCAAATTCTAAAGCATCTCTTTGACTCCATCCAAGTACCGTAATTGATAAAAATGTTGAACAGCATAGGGCTTATGTACTCTACATGATACTTCCTTTCAAGCTGATGAGGAGTCATTAATGAGCACTCTTTGGTGCAGTCATTCAGCCAACTATGAGCTCATCTAACAGTAGTTTTATTTAGCACACACCATTTTATGAAGGAGAATTATTATAAGGCACCCAGTCAAATGCTTTACTCAGATCCAGATAGTCTATGACATCCAAAGGAAATAAACATAGTTTGGCACAACTGGTTTGTGGTAAATGAGGGTTAGCTTCTGTTAATAATAGCATGCTGCTTGATAATCTGCTCAAAGATCTTACCCAATATTTATATATCCAGTACAAGCAGGTGTATAGTTTCCTGGGTCATCTTCATTCTCTTTTTTGAATATGAGGATAATATTTTTAAATAGATTTTTTCTTTTTCTTTTCTGCACTTTCTGTTCTTTTTTCCCTATCTTCTCTTCTTCATTTTGATATTAGTTTGTATTATCTTTTACTGATATAATAAAAATATTGCAAAAATTTTTTTGTCTGGATATTGGTCATTGGAAGTCTTGTTTACATTAATAAATCTTGGAAGTATCCTTTACCTATGTAATTCTTGATGTCATGCCAATTGAAGAATGATCAGCATTAGCCTGTGTTAAACAGTGATATTTTAAACAATGTATAAACTTTATTGAACCAAAATAGGTACTATTTCTATTGAGCTGGCTAATGAATTCAGTTCTTCTTGTTATGAGTTATGTCTTTAATGCACAACCATTACTTTTTAATTGCTTTCTGTTACCCAATAAACAGAAGGAGTAGATTTTTTCCCTCCCTGCCAAAGTTTTTACATCTGGTTTTCATACAGCTTAGCCACCCATGGTGTCTTCAGCCAACCCCATGGCTAGCCAGGCTACTAGTTTATTACGTTTACTACTTTTTTCTGACTCTGCCCTTTTAAAGAAGATGAAAGTTCCTAAAACTTGAGGTGTATTGGGAATTAGTTTAATGGTTTTTTTAAACTGGAAGAAATACATGGGGGACAGAAGCTGGGAGTCTAGCTGAGAAATGCATTGCTTGGAGTAGGCACATCACCCTGTTGGAGATCAGTTTAGTTATTATTTTAATAAAAGGCCCCAAATAACAAATCCAGTTTACTAATGACTAATAACATCTCAATTTAAGTCATGTCTAATTTCAGCTTGTTTTTCTTTATTCAGCCTATCAAATTTAAGCAATGTACAAAGATGCTGATTGCTCCTTGGAGTTTGAAGGCAAAGAACTGTAAACAGTTACCTTGCTCCAAAAATTTGTTATGATCTCTCCAAGGGGTTTTATGAACAGCATAAAAAGAAAATGGAAACCCTGGAACACCATAGGTTAATCCCCTAGGTAGTGGAAAGTGGTACTTTAGCACCACCATCTGGATCTGCCTCAAAGAAAGGACCGAAACAATTATAGAATAATTCCTCCACAGCCCAATTCTGCTAGATAATCCAAAAGACGACCATACAGTAGTCAATGGTACTGAATGATGCCAAGAAATCCAGTAGAAGTGTGACTGTCCCTGTTCAGTTTAATTCACAGATCATCTACAAAAGGAAGCAAAGCGAAATGGAAATGAGTTTGGATAATCAAAATCATCCAGTTGCATCTGAATTTGTAAGTCCACCACATTCTTGACAACTTATCTGAATGTTTCAGACTTGCTAGTGTATTAAAAAGATCTCTTGGGTTAATGGAAGTTTCTTCAACAGAGAACATGCCTCCTTTAGACCGTGGGAACACATCCTCACTCACCCACCTCCCATAACACAGAACTGGAAGCAATATATTATAATTCTTATATCTCCACATAGTTATATGCATATCATTGTGAAGGTAAAAAGATAAAATTCATAGAAGGAGTAATTATTAACATTATATTCCTATGAACTTTCCAGTGCTGGAGTCCTGGTTAAGAATACAAGTTGCACAATGAGCCATAGGCTATTCTGTAGATCTCTCTATCACCTAATAATGAAGATATCACACAACAAGAAAAAAAAAAAACACCAGGTGCAATGGTGATTAAGTACTCTTTATTGCTTTCATTGCTGTGGAGCAGGTCTTCAAACAGTCTTCAATCCATGCTTAATTTCATCCATTCCCAATGGATAAAATTTGTGCTCCAGCTGTCCTTTCAGCTTCATCACTTTCAGCTTGCTACTAAATCAATGGGCTGAATAAGCTCTGTGAAAGATAAGAGATAAGAAAATAGCTAAGAACAATAGTGTCAATCACCCTGGCTATCTCTGTATTCCAAAAATAACCTGGATTATATCAATATTACTGATAAATAAGATGGAAAACTCCTAGTTCTAACTATTAGGTCCCTGGGTCAGATTATTTTAATTGTGCCACCATCTCAGCAAAAATATAAATTGCTCAAAAATTGACCAGGATGTGATCTATCCAAGACAAGGGAATCACAGAGAACTTTCCACCTTCCGATCACCGCTTGGTTCTAAGAGGTTACCAAATCAGCTGTGTGCTCTTCCACATATGTGGATCAAAAAGCTTGTTCAGATACTTCTTTCTTTGTTATGGAGACTGAGGCATGAAAAGAGAATAAATGGCTGATGAAAAAGTCATGCTCAAAGAGAGCTCACCAATATTCCTTATCAAAGAAGGGTAAGGTATCAACTAGGGTCCTACAATGTTAGGATTCAACCTATGTTCTTTGATATTATTAGTGACTTGGATTAAAAGATGGTTGGAATGCTTATCAAACAGACAAATACAATCCCAGAGAAATGTACTCCTGGAAATATTGATATTCACCAGGTAAGCAAAACATATGTCCAAAATTAAGTGAGTATGGGAGGTGGAGGTGTTATCTGGGTGCATAATCATCAGTCTATGTCTGTTTTGTGCAATGATTACAACAACTCTTGGGTTGTTGATGGCTCTCCAGAGCTCCCTCAAAGCAAAAATGTAGCTTCTCATCATGTTTTGGTAGTAAGCCAAAAAAAAAAATAAAAATGCAATTACGTGCTATTGAATAGGTTTAACATGTGGAAAGAGAAGTCTTCTCCCCAAAACCATCAATCCCAATGTTTCTATTTGCATTACATCATTTCTTCTTTGTGCACTCACTGTAGTCGATGATTGCCCAAAAGATTGAAGCTGGCAAGGTCTTGTAGGTCATCCTGGGGAAAGCAATAATAGAATGCAGTCAGAAAAAAAAGCATGGTGGGATTCAAATGTACATCCCAACAATCTCAGGTTTTTATTATTATTATTAAAACCCTAATATATGTAGAAGGCAGAACAAAGAAGAATGTTGTCTTGGATGGGAAAGCAAAGGATCAATGAAAAAAAGGAAAGCTTTAAAGAAGGGGAAAAACTAAAACATTATCTCATAGTGCAGCCATCTTTCCAGGAAGCTCTCACTTGATTTACTTTAAATAGCTTAATAGCATTGAAGCAACTTTTTATTAGTATTAGCATTATTTTCCCCGTGTGCGCTGCTTCAAAGAACAATGTTGTGGACTCATAAAAATCCAAAGGACAAATCAGGGTCCTCAGCACCATATATACGCCATGCCCACTGTGCAGTGAGCCACATATAATCTGTAAAATGTCAGCTTCAAAGTTCTGCAGAGATTGGTGTTACCCCTGACCTTTGACCTGACGACTCTAGCTGGGCCTTCATGTTCTTTTGCCCAGCTGTTTTAAATAAACGGGCCCCATTTTTAAAAGTGCTTGTTCTCCAGCTTTGACACAAATAGCAGTAATAATATTAACTCTTATTGGAGACAGCAGGGGTGGGGGCAGCCTCCACTTTTCAGGAACCCTTTACCAAAAGCCAATCAAAGCCTTGCCTCATGGAGTGAGTGGCGGGTTAATAAATATGTCATTGTGCTAGAAAATATGTGAACAGGGCTGAAGAAAAAGAGCAAGATATACAATAAAAGGAAAACATATTACTGAGGCTTCCTGTCAAAATACACAGGGGAAGTACTTCACTTTGACCATTTCTTTATAAAGAAGCATGGTAGGCCAAGACAAACAAAGGAGAAGATTCTGGTTTGGCCCACTGCTGAATAGTGGAGTTTCTTGAGTATGATGAAATCAGGTTAAGAGACCAAATCAGGTTTTTTACAGACTTATTAAGTCAAGCCAGCAGATATGTTACCCCATTCCTGGTCTTGGTTGAAATTGTCCATCTACTTTGTTCCCCTGTTACCTATGTTTGTCTTTATCCAAACAACTTTACATGATCTATCATGAAAGAAAAGAAAAGGCTTTGGGGAGATACACATGTCTAAGACGGTCCCAGGTTGTCCTTGCTGTGAGCTGAATACAGCAGCCACTCTGAGTGAAGAGTGTGGAGAGTGAAAATCGGGCTAACCAAAGACTCAGATTTCAGGGTCCAGAGCAATGCTTATGAAGAAAGTGCACAAGGGGAAAGAGCCCCTGGAAGACCACTGGCTCTGGGCAGGCTCAGGGAAAGATCAAGGTGCCATCCTTTCCCATTCTCTGAATAAAAACATTCCGGTGGCCAAATCTTTCTGTTTTGGGCAGTGATGTATAAGAGCAAGTGTAGGCTAGAAACCAGGTGAGCTTGTGCTAAAAAGAAGAGGCAATGGCAAACCATTTCTGAAACATTGCCAGAAAAACTGCAGGGACTTGTTCAGACAGTCTGCATACAGTATATATTTGTGCCTTCAAATCAATTTTATATCAATTTTAAATCACTGTCTACCACATCTGAAGGCCTGACTTTAACCAGAACCTCTAGAAAACTGATGAGCAAAGAAGTTACATGGCACACAACCAGGAACTTCTGGAGGCTCCCATGTATACATTTAAAAGATTTTTAATTTTTGACCATTGATGAGAATTTTGGAAATCAAAATATTCACAGACATATGCTCAGGTTAAGGAAGGCTGAACCAGAATATCTTTATGATTCCGTAAAGCAATAACATGCTATTTGCATATAAATTGCTAGGTTTTGAGTGGGCAATTCTTCAAAGTCTGATGACAGAAAGTTAGAGTGGGTGAAACTGTCATAGCAAATTAATATATAGATTAAGTTTATTTAAATAGTTGCATACATTTCCTTTGCTTTTATTTTGAAAAATCAGACTTTTGCTACTTGCCCTTTTGCAAGTGAATTTACATAGTATAATTTTCATAACCTCTTGGTCACCACTAGAAGTCTGAGGGCAGTGGGTTGTGCCCCCCTGGTCTAAGATGTCCATCAGTATAAAGCCATCTCAGTACTGGAATGGATACATCTCAAACTGAGGCTCTCAGGGAATAAATATAAAAATGCTCTTCCTGGATTAAGTGGGATGTTTATCTCAGCATTCAGTTCCCACAATGATCAAGTAGATGTCACTGGGACATGAAGATTGTAACAATTTCCCATTCATGTTCCCCACCAGCCAGTCTTCAGAGAGTGCTTCCAGATGAGGCTTTTATTATGTAAGTAGCATGCCAAAGAAAGTTGTTGGGAACCATATGGCCCTCTCTCCCATATTTTATGCATCTTCCCATTCACTTTTTCTGTTACTGAAACTCATCTGTGAGGGAGAAAAAAAATGGGGTCTCTGAACTACAAATTTTGGTTGTGAGAAGGATGCAGAGACTTACTCCTCTGATCCTGGCACACTGTAGATCGTAAATGAAATGACACTTTATAGATTGTTTTAATACCTCCTTTAAAGAATATAGATGTAATTGTTGTAGAGCACATGACAAAGGCCAGATAATAGGCTAGTAGCGTTCACAGCTGGTTTCCCATTGTCATTCTGCAGAGGTCAGCATTGTCCATAGCATTTTCCTAGCTGATTCGTGAAACTGTAATAGAAAAGAAGACATTTTAGCAGAAGATTTCCACATTTCATCCACAGATCCTGAAAGCAATTATTTTGACAGAAATGACCTATTATTTGTGTTTTCCTGGTATGTGTCTTACTTCTAGTCCTCCTAAACTTATCCAACCATATACTTATTGCAATGCCATAACCAGCTAAAACCTTATATTATGTTCTGAATTATTAGATATTATCCTGCATATTTTTATGGGTACACACAAAAGAAGAGATTTTGGGGTAAAATGTTCTTGGCTAGATGTGGTCTTCTTATGCTGATTTTCTTACAAGATAGCCAGGGTGTGGGCAAGAATGTCCTCTTTTCATTCTATAATCATCCCTTAACTGATAACAACCCTGATTTCTCTTCCTACCACTAAATCCTAAGGGAAGACAGGGGAGAAAAGTGACTTTCATAGTACTTTCTTCTTAGTGGTGCTGCTGGAACCACTATAGGGGAGACTTCCTGTGCTTAAGAAATGGTTGACAATTTCTCCTTCTCAATTCAGAGAAATCATCTATTCAATCTGTGCCCAGAAATTAGACAAAAACTGTTGAAAGGCCATCTAGGTATTTCAAACATCACAACTATATCTATGAGCTTGATCAATTTCTTCTTGTATGGATGTGCATCTTTATGATGTCCTTATTGTAAGAATTTCCTTTGCTATAGATTTCAAGATACAACAGCACAGCTAAATGAATGGAAATGGTGTTTTAGCAAATATTAAAAAAGTGTCAGCTAACCAAATCAAAAGGTTTGAATTAACTCCAAATAGATCCAGTTCACACTTTGGTTCCAAGTAACTGTGCCATGGAAGCTGCCAAGTGTGGGATTAACTCACCTTTACCCCAAAGATTGAGCTTAAATTCTAAAAGGTTCCAGAGTAACATATCTTTTTATGTACTCTGTTTCTATGACTGATTCAGTTTTCACACACAAACTCACAAAGAAGTACAAAATGAAGAGAAACAAGTTGCTGTCTGCAGTAGATGGCAGCACCTATCCAGCCCTATCCAAACTTAAAAGGGTGGCCACTAAAAAATTCCAAGATTAAAGATTAGACTAGGGCAGCCTGGCTGGCGAATTCTAGGAGTTGGTCCACATGTCTTAAAGTTGTCAAGGTTGAAAAACACTGGACTAGGGAGTTGACAACTCATCCCAAAAGAAGGCAATAAGCAAATAACTTCTGCATTTTTGCCAAAGTGAATGAATGTCCTGGTGCATATGGGCACCAGGACATTCAAGAAAGTGTTTACATTTTATAATTATCTCCATTCAAATCTCAAATGTTAAAATTAGTGTTTACAAGAAAGCTCAGGTTCCCAGTATACAGTAAAATAGTGCCACTTCATATGCTGTGGACAGCCCTGTTGGATGTAACTGTCGGCAGGAATGTTGCAGTCTATCTCTAGCTGCTCATAGTGTCCCCACAGCAATGCTATATCAGGCAATTAAAAGAGCAAGAGTCTTCTATGCTCAGCCATCTGACGCAACCGGCCCATAAGTGGCATCAGCAGTTGCTCTGGTGGGACCCTGTCAGCTGCCTGGATGAAGAAGCCAGAACCCATTTATGAAGCTAGTTCCAAATGCTGCAGTTGTTCATATTAGGAACCTACAAAAAGTCTGGTGAATCAAAACAAAGGTCTTTCAGGGCTAAGCAATCTTCCTCTCCCTCCCCAATATTAGCACCCATGTGTTGCTTCCTGGATTCTTTGCCCAATCTACATCACTTTCCTGACAGAAAGACATTCCTGCATTGTCTCCTCTCCCTCCCCTCCCCCGTCTTCTCCCTTGCGCATCAAATCACAGAGCAAGCACTGCAAAGCAAGATTTCTCTTGCAATTGGCAGAGATCCTTATAGCCTGCCTGCATCCTGGGAGGAGGCCTCTTGTGCTAGCCCTCCTGCACTGTTTGTACTTACAAGTAACCAAGAGTGTCCCTGTGCATGGGAAATTCTGGAAAATATGCAGCTGCAGCAGCAAACTAATCCCTGTACTCTGAAACATTCACAATTTCTGACAATCTTTCATGGCAGACCTATATGCAATGAAATTCAGAAAGGGGGCCGGATATGTTAAATATGTTAAAACTTACATACAGGTAGTCCTCAACATACGACCACAAATGAGCCTCAAATTTCTGTTGCTAAGTGAGATATGTGTTAAGTGAGTTTTGCTCATTTTATGATCTTTCTTGCCACAGTTGTTAAGTAAATCACTACATTTGCTAACACAATTTAACACAAGTAAATCTGGCTTCCCCATTGACTTTGGTTGTCAGAAGGTCACAAAAGGGGATCATGTGACCCAGGGACATGGGAACCGTCATAAATATGAGTCAGTTGCCAAGCGTCCGAATTTTGATCATGTGACCATGGGGATGCTGCAATGGTTATAAGTGTGAAAAATAGTCATAAGTCATTTTTGTCAATAATGTAACTTTGGTCATTAAACGAATTGTTGTAATTCGAGGACTACCTATAGAACAGGCACATTAGGAATAAAAGTAGTCTTTAGCTGGTATCTTATTATGTGGATCTGAGACGATTTTACATATTTATGTGACGGTGCACACATATACACATATCTATTCTTCCCCTTACTTTGGTGATTATGTCTCATTAGCCTTGCTGGTAAATCTATTGTCTCGCTGTTATTCATCTTTTTTCTTCTTCTTTTTTTTTTTGCTATAGCACTTGTAACTGCTCACCACAAGTTTAAATACTTCTGAGATGACTAATGAAATCCAAAAACCAGCCACAAATGCTGGCATTGTGGGATGAATCAGGCTGTTGTGTGTGCAAGTGAAGGAAGGGACCATCCTGCAGGCAGCAAAAGTGCTGATGGTGGAAGGAGCAACAGCTGAGTTTAAATGCCTCCTTCCTGACTTTCTGCTTATATTCCAAAAAGGGTGAAAACATATGTGAACTATATATAAAATACTCTTGCCAAATGCCATACTTTTAATCTCTTAATCTGTTATTAAATTATGGTTTTAACACAATTTCCATTATTGTCAGCAGGAGAGTGTTTTATTTCAGGAAAAATAGCCTCCTATTGCCCAGGTTCTCAAGATTTGTTGCACAGGATTTGTGGTTTTATCTCGTAGTCTTATCAAGTCTTTTCACATTTATTCACAATGTTAATTCAATGTTTCTACTGATAGATTCATGTGGCTAAGAATCTATGCCTTACCTGTGCTGCAGGGTTTCCTCTCTGGCCAGACAAGGTCAAGAAACAGGAATTGCTTGGAGTGTGATTCTGCTTCAACTTATACATAACACAAAGTAAGATAAAGTTATTTGGAGTTTCTTTCTCTCACTTTCTACTTTCCCAGATTTTTTTTTTTCTGTAATGGCTCAACATTTCCATCTTCTTTCTCTGAGTCACTTTTTCACAATTGACATAGCACAGTCTTGGCCACTGCTTTCCATCTATTCTTTGTGCTTCTGTTTCACTGCCTGAAGGCTGAATGTAATGCCAGTTAGAAATAAGATCATAACAAAGAAACAAGTACATTAGATCTTGATGGCCAATCAAAGACCGAAGAAAAGCCCATTTATTTGTTTGTTTGTTTGTTTTTGTTTATCTATTTATTTATTGTGTTTGTTTGTTTATTAAATGTATTGGCCATCTTACCATAGGGTAACTCTGAGGAGCTTACAGTCATAAAGATATGTTTATACCTATACAACTGAAACATAAATAATTGAGTTTGACACCCCTGACTTAGAGATTGACAACTTTTCTAGCTCAGGACTCCTTTGGACTTGCACAATAATTGTCTAGATATTTTAAAAACTGAATGAGACTACCGTGAGATTTCAGGAAGGTCTCATGAGATTTTGCTGTTCTGATGCCAGGTCCCACAAGATTACTAAAATCTTGACAGAACCTAGCCCACATTGGTTTTGGTGTGCTAATTTTATATTTATTTATTCCCTGCAACTGGTATGTCACTCTAATCCAAATAGAACTTCAAGTGACTTACAATAATGGTATTAAAATAACATCAGTGACAAAATGGAAACAAAACAATACTACTATGCCCTGAGGAACAGCAACAACACCCAAATACAGAGCAATACAATCCTCCTTCAACATAAATCTACTCTTAAAATAGCAATAGCACTTAGACTTATATACTGCTTCACAGTGCTTTACAGCCATCTCTAAGTGGTTTATAGAGTCAGCCTATCGCCCCCAACAGCCTGGGCCCTCATTTTACTGACCTCGGAAGGATGAAAGGCTGAGTGAACCTTGAGCCATTCAGAATTGAACTCCTGGAGTGAGCAGTGAGTTTAGCCTGCAGTACTGCATTCTAACCACTGTGCCATTCTGGAATATGGTGGGAACCAGTCTAATCCTGGGAGGAATGTTCTTCCAGAGACATGGAGTCATGCCTGAGAAAGATCCATCATATTCTTTTACTTAACTTTTCTCTAAGCTACAAAGCTAATAAAGGAGAATATTTGTAGGTCAGGATTAAAACTAGAGGTCCTTGATGCTCTCTGAGCTTAGTTGTTTTCTTGCAGACTTTTCTTAACCCCTATACTAGGACTGATGATGTTGCCTAGTTTGGGTAATGAAACATCTGCAAGAAAATAACTAAGCTCAGAGAACACCATGGACCCCTCAAACAAAAAAGCCATTTGCTGTATCTTGATCAGATCTGTATACTTTTTGAATAATTTATAACCAGAATTTTGCATAAATCTCTAGGAGTAGGCACGCCATAACAGCCCCTCATGACAAGCAGATTTGGCCCAAACTCTATTTGCTTTCTGCAAGCTTCTTAAAAGGGATCTATTGTAAATTGGCATCTGAGGATGATGCCAGATACTGCCTGGAATGTAGTTTTGCTCATTTTTTTATTGTAGGTTTATATATTGTAAAGTTTATTGTTATTATTGTTCTTTATGATGTGAGCCACTGAGTCTCTATATGTTTGTGGTGGGATATAAATGATGTATATAAATAAAATATCATATTGGCAGTTTTAGTTCCAGTTTCTTTTGCAATGATGGCATCCATGCGTTTTTAACAACAGTTGCACACTAAATCACCATTTTGACTGAGGCCTCTCTTTTCCTGGTTAGTTGCCTCCAACACAGATCCTATCCATTGGTTTGTGAATTTAGACTTTTTTTTTTTTACACTAAATTGTATCAGGTTAATATTTCTTTTACATTTCTGTTTTAGGAATATTAATAAACAGTCACTCAATTTTTGGAGCTCAATTTTTCCAGCCTATCAGCAAACCCTGATGCTACAATGTAGAGCTGGCCATGCCCACCCAGTAGGCCACACCCACTCCATCCACACCCACCCAGTAGGCCGCACCCACCCTGGCCACATCCACCCAGCTCCTTGAGGGCAACCACAATGCTGATGCGGCCCTCAATGAAATTGAGTTTGACACCCCTGTTCTAAATGCATATTTCCTTTGCCTTTAATAATGCCTTCAATAGTGCTTTCACTAATTTATCTGAAGGATGTAACTATGTTACTAAACTGTGAATGAGATTAATTGCATAGTTAATGGCAGTGTAACTATATGTAATAAATAGTAACTATATTAATTCAATAAATGTGCTCTGTGATTAGCATTTAAATAGCCACAGGGCTCAGTCACATTCAGGACTACAGCTAGAAACAGTAGGCTTAACCATTTCTCCCCATTCTAGTGTTCTAATACCAGATTCTGTTCACTCTGCTATTAGCCCGAGGAGGGAATTTTCTAGGCACCAGCAAATGCTAATATATTTTAGGAAGCAGATGGTTCCACCTGAACTTTCTAACGCTCCTAACAGAGTATAGTAACGGTGTCTCTGCGCTGTTATTTAAACTTCAAAAACAAAAGTCGAGATTATATTTGTGCAATTAATGACATATCTGGTTTGTGCTTTTTCAGGCTCCATTTGGTATTCGTAATTCAATAGATTTAGCAAACAGGATTATATAATGATAAAGTTCTTAACACAAACCTACTGCAGGTAAATTTAGAATTATATTGAAGTTTATTTTTGTGGCTGAATACACACTATAACTGGAGAGTGAAGATGGGTCTGGGCATCTTTATGTATTTCGTGAAACATCTAGAAAGGTGGGATATAAACTTTATAAAAGTAAACAGTAAAAGAGAGAGAGAGAAGCAGCTAAACAGGGAAGTGTAAAGAACGTGAAATTGAGACATGGCAATCAAACCAGTCTGAATTAGGAGGTATGAGTCATAAACTGCAAACTTCTAATCCTAGCCTGGACTCAAGGGACTAAGAAGCCTATTTTTGCAGATGGGTTTAAAGCATTTTACAAGAGGAACCTCCTAAATTATAAAACTGCCGGGCACATAAATTGATATGACTGTTAAACCTTTCACTTTCAGACACAATGACTTAATTTCAGATGTTCACCAATGTCTGCCATTACTGTAAGTCAGAACTAGCAAAAATCCAGCTACTTGAAGCATTCCATTTTAATAATGGACAAATAATGCTGAGCCCAGAAGAAGCGCCAATCAGCTGGAATGTTGCAGCATCTCCAGGATCTTGTGATTTACATTCAGATGCTTGGCAACTGATTCATATTTATGACAGTCACAGTGTCCCAGGGTCATGTGAAGTGACCAAAACCTGCTGCAACTACCCAGCAGATTGGGGGAATGAAACCAAACACTCCCCCACCCCACCCCTGCTGCCAATCCTCAACAGAAATGCTCACAACAATGAAAACCTCGGACAGGAGGAAGAGCGCTGCCGGGTGGGCAGGCAGGGGTCTTGCTCGGCTGTGGCTTGGGGATACTTTTTTCAGTGCCATTGTAACTTCAAACAGTCACTAAGCGAACTGTTGTAAGTCGAGGACTACTTGTACTTTATCACCTTTTTCCTCTTTTTTTTTTTGGTCATCAAGTTTTTGACACCTTGCTAGGCGACTGGTGGTACTCGGATATTGCCATATCCTAAAAGTGGTACAATGGGTGAAAAGGTTGAAAAGCCCTGTTCTAAGGTCACTTCCTTTTGACTCATTTTCTTGAGTGCAAACACACAGAGTGTTTTCATTTGATCTTCTTCTTCTTCCTCCTCCTCCTCTCTTCCTCTTCAGCTATTCGGTTGGTGTTGATTCTTAATGACCACTTAGCTAGATTTTCTCCATAATGATCTGGTAGCCAGATCATGATGACCAGACCCTAATTTGATTTTTCAGTGTCTTCCAATAGTGTACTCATTGATACTGATCACTATTAATGACTCCATCCTACCTTGCTCCTGGTCATAGTCTTCTTCTCTTTCCTTCAACCTTTTCTAGAAATACAGTTTTCTCTAGAAAGACAGGTCCAAAGTGGGATAATTTGTGTCTCGTCATTTGTGCCTCAAGTGAGAATTTTGGGTTGATTTGTTTGATGATCAATTTGTTTTCTTTCTCTATCCATGACCTTTTCAGAAGAGTTCTTAAACACCAAAGTTCAAAGGCATCAACACTCTTCCTCTTCTGCTTCTTCAAAGTCCAACTTTCACTTTCATAGAGTATCACACATAGAATTAGAAAGATACTCACTTTCCTCATAAGAGGAAAGAAAAACGGATTCTTTTATAGTAGCCTATCTCAAAAAAAAGTCTAGGTCTATTATCTATGTGAAATTATTTTCCTGATCTGATCTATGTGTAGGGCTGACATTGTGTGGCTACCCAGATGGGAGCTCCTTAGAAGGAATAAAACAGAGACTGACAAGTTAATGTAAATGACAGGTATGGAGCCTGATAAGGAATACAACTAAGGCAATACATAGGAAGAAAAGAAACCATTGTATGAAATCATCGAAGTATAGTAGGTCATCCACAACACAAAAGCAAGTCAAATGAGACATTTTCTCATAATATGTTAACCTTCCATTGAAGAAAGCTAGTCTAGGAACTGTAATCCCAACACATTTGGAGGACTAGAAATTTGAGGAAGCTAGAAGTATGGAATTAAATCTAAGGGCTGGAGGAGTAGGTTGGGCAGGGGTGAGGAACCCAATGCAATCTTCCTCATTCTGATGCTCTTCTGTTGGATTCAGTTCCCATCATTCCCAGGACTGGAATTGTTAGATTGAAACATCTGGAAAGCACAAGGCTGGGAAAATGAAGTTATTCTTACCTGCATTTCAAGGTCCAGTTCTTGGTAACAAATTGCTTTTGTGGAAGTTAAATCATTCACAATATAAAGGGTATCTCATTTCTGAATTCAGAGGAGCTGGATTCAGGTTGTTGCCTGCTACCACTATGCTCTTCCCCTCCTTTTTGATTGGGAAAGGACCATTAACACCTGTTTTAGGGGTTACTTTCAATTACATTAACCAGAGGGACATTTTACACATGCTGTGTAGGCCCACATGCAAGTATGTGGTAGATTTAACACATTTTTTCCCAGTTGAAAATTCATAACTGGATCCAGAATATTTGGGGGAGGGAAAAGTTAACATCGCATATCGCATGACCTTTAATTTAGTGTCCTGACATAGTACTGATTGACAACCCTGCCATAGCTTCACTTAAAGCCAGATTCCTGTGATTATTCATGCTGTCTGATCTCATGGGATAAATGTTTCATGAGTGCCCATGGGAATTGACCTAGGGGTGTGCCAATAACATGAATAGAAGTTGGACTGATTAATGACTATGCGTTTTACTAGAAGAACGTCTCTCATATCATAGCTAATGTATGCTGGGATCTCCGGTATTCCTTTGGCTCTGAGCCTTATCCAGACTCTTTTGCAAACTGAAAGGCCAAAATATACCCTGGGCCAAAGGTGGAAAGCTTCTCCAATTGCTGAGATCATGCCAAGGCATGCAATTTGTTTGCGCAAAGTCTCCCCTGAAACTCCATCTGCAGAATCCTCCCCAAAAATATTAATTATTTTTATTGCCTAGATTTGCTACCCCCCCCCCAGATAATACATTAGAAGGCAAAAAAAAGCCAAATGCATACAGATCAGACCAAAATCCACACAGTAAAACAATAAATTAAAAGTAGCATAATGTAAAACAACAAGCAATAAAAAAATCTAAAAATATCTGAACAATAAATTTAAAATAGTACTTAGAGTAGAAATATAGGAGATAAACCCTGAGATTTTTTGCATGATGAAATACACCACTGAAATATAGTTTTCTTCCTTTTTTTTCTTGCAAGCATTTAACACGATTAGCATTTCTTATTATGATTATGGTTTGTGAACCACAAATATTTGTACAAAGTTGGAGGATACCTGTTTCAACAGATTAATTGAATAAATACATTGAATTTGTCCACACTGAAAAGAAGAAAAACAGTAATCTGTGTCTAGTTATATGAGTATTAGCATAGCATTGTGCAACCAATTTTCTTACAGTTGTGTAGGCTATCACTCTCCTTAATCTCTACCCAATTCAATTTAATATCAAGAGTGATGTACCCAATTTTTCAGCCACAACAAGCCAAATGTGAGCCAGTTGTCTGTTGCAAGAATCAAGTAGACTACATCAGCTGCTTTATGCAAAATAACAGTCTGTCCCAAGGACTTTGGGTTTGGGCCCGGATTCTTGGGATACTTTGTTAAGGCTACCAGATATGGACTACAGAAATCCAGAGGAGGAATAGATGAGATACTTTGCAAATCAAGATTTTTGCAGTCCCATTCTGACATGATATGCTTTCTACCTCTGACTACTTCCTTACTAAAGACCTACAGCATCTTGTTAGCCTCACTCAGCTATCATTGAAGTGATATAAAGCCCATTCTTATTGCTGTTATTTTGGCACAACAAGTCTAGAAACTGCTACAAGGGCAAACTCTCATATCACTTTAACTGCAGTACAAACATATCCCAGTGACCACTTTTATACCATACCCTCACTACATCATTTTGTCTTATTCCCAATCTGCAGCTCAGGCATTAAAAGTTGTTTTTAGCCTTCATTAGTGTTTTCTCTTTTCCTTCAATACAATATTTGTCATGGAGATGATCTAGCTTTATCAACAAGGTGGTTTCTGACAGAGTCTGTACTGAGATTTATTCAATTCCTACTGGCCACTGAAGACTACTACAAGCATAACATTTCCCCTCTGGGAACAGGCCCATGACAGTTTTGCCTTGAACTGCAGGAGAGAATGGACATTGGCTGCTGCAGAGAGCTCCACTGCATGTTTGAATGGAGTTTTTCAAAACATTTCTCAGATCTTACGCAGCCTCCTTGTAAACATGTATTTAGTGTTCTTTTAAAGAAGCACTAAACCTGCATTTAAAAAAAATAGTGCTATATTGCTAAAGGACAAAGGCTGTGTGGTACCAAATGTTGATTTCAACCATTCCTATCTGAGGATTAAACTTGCTCCTTATTGATCATTCCTTCCCCCTTCATCCTTCATTCCTCTTTCTTGACTGCAGCTTGTCAACCAGATAATTTGGGGACACGAATTTAGTGCTCTTTCAGAAGAGTGCTAGACTTGTATTCAGAAATCGTCCAGTTGACAGGTCAGGTATCCAGAACACTTCCAGGCTTGCAACCTGTCAGATATGGCAATGTAATAGGTGGCTAAATACATCATTCAACTACCAGATTATGATAATTAGGCAACCGTACCCTACCCCATCTCACATTAGGGGCAGTGATTGGAGATGGTTTTCTCACTTAAAAGCAACATCTAATGGGAAGAGTAATGAAACTGGGAGAATTCACCAATCACTTGTCCTTAACTTGTTAAAATGTTAAAGAGAACAGACTTATTATTATAGCAAACATTGGGCTTGGCATTTGGGACAGCAATTTTTAAATAACATACTTCTCTGTTGGCCCAAGTACTGATTGTCAGGTGCAAATATCCAGGAGCATTCATTGTGTTCAAACACAAAATAGTTTATTATTGCTACCTCTAATACATCAATCTAGTCAAATAATGGTCAATTGGCACCCGATAAGGTCAACAAAATTCATGGGAGGGGATGGACTTAGGTCTTTTCTGACAATGCAAAAGTATCAATGCAATGACTCTAAACTGATGACACACTTAACCCTGCCTTCCAGCTCAGCCACTTCTCCTAAGCTGATGGAGAACATTTTAATACAGCTGCCTGGCTGTGTCCTAACTTATTAATAGGAAAATACCCCCTGGTGCTCAATAGATTCAAAGTAATTCCTTGCCTGCTATGAATATTTCCTGTGCAGTGAGATAGGGTCCCAGATAAGTATCTAGCCAAGAGATAGTGAAGAGAAATGTGAGAACACAAATAGGAAAGGAAATAAAGATAACAATGGTCAATGTTGGATACTCATGCGATATAATAGTAGTTAAAAGTGCCAGGCTAGAAATGAGGAGACTCTAAATTCTAGTCCAGCCTTAGGTGCAATACCAGCTGGAGGATTTTAGGCCAGTCCCCTGCTCTCAGCCCCAGGAAGAAGAAAAGAACAGGAAACCACTTCTGAAAACATTGCCAAGAACATTGCATGGATTTGACTAAGTAGTTGCGAGGAATCTGAAGGCACACGTAAGGATGGAGACAATCCTTTGTGTTACTGTGATCAAAATCTTCAGCATAATGAAAAGATTCATCAACAACTGCCCCAGCATGTATTAAAGAAAATTTAACTGTGATTCTACAGAAGGGAAAATACTGAAAAATTATATATTAATTTGGACAACCATCCAAACCCCATGATTGTAAAGAGGGACAGGGAGGAAGCACTTCAAATGCCTCCTAAAACAGTTGCTTGTGTCAAGCTATAGCAATACCTCAGCGTAAAGACCTGAAAAGATCAGTAGGTGCCACCAGACTTCTATGAAACAAAAAACAGTTGGTGCCTTCCTGTCCAGGGAGAGATCAGTGGCTGACAGCAAAGAAATCCAGGAGGGATACCCATAATAGTGTAAAGCAGAAGTGGACCTTGATGGGGGGCCCAGGGGATGAGGCTGAGCTGCAATCAGGGTCCTGGCGCATACCTTTGATTTCTGTTTATGGCCCCCATGTGGAATGATCTGTCTTATTGGCACCACACTATTTTTAAATGATGCAGCAGCTGGCAACACATAGTTCAAAGATTTATGCTCTGACTTCTGGCTGGATTAGTTACTTCCATTCTCTTCCCTTGTACGGATAAGGTCTTCACAAATGTGTTTCTGCCCAGCCTCTTTAGGAGCTAAAGTGAAGTGATGTGGAAAATAGGCAAGCAGAAAAGTAAAACAGGTAGCAAACCTTCCCTGAAAGGCCGGCACAGTTAGACCAGTCTGGCATCCAACTGCAGGAACTGCAGGAATTTCACCCCAAGGAAATTCATTTCTGCTTTATGCCAGAAGCAGAGCTCACCAAACCCACATTCTCTCCTATCCCAGTTATTGCAACAAGGGTGTTATGTGCACATAAAAAATAGGCAGAGTTTTGATTGTACAATTGTAGCCACCATCTTGACCTTTTTGACCATACTCTGCGGAGACCCTGTATTAGAGCCATTGGCTGGAGGAAGGAAGTACCTGCAGTTCATGTAGGTGCAGACATCCAGATCTTGGAGAACAACCATGTGTTCCTTCTTATAGTAGCGAGTGGGGCAAGTTTATTGTATTGATTTTGGTTATTTATATGATTTATAACTTCCCTCACTCCAGAGGCTTTAGGAAGTGTACAAGCTCAGACTTAGTATGAAAAACAAAAGAATAAAGAAACAATAAAACTATAAGCAATAAGAAACAATAAAGACTCAGATCTTTTTTTAGGCTGCTCAGTCTAAGAACTCGGGAGAAATCCCATAGAACATAGAATAATAGGATTGGAAGGGACCTTGGAGGTCTTCTAGTCCAACCCCCTGCTCAAGCAAATTGCTATCCAGTCTCTTCTTGAAAATCTCCAAATCACTGAAAGATGTCAAAGAGAAGGGCCATTCTTACTTTACAGGTAAGGGCTGTAAAGAAAGGGGACAGCCACCAAGAACACTCACCTTTATGTCCCCTCCTATCGTATTTTGATTGGAAAGGTTTATGAGCTGCAGCCACAAAACACGGCCTCCCAGATTTTATTCCCTCTTCTTTCCTCCTTTAATGCAGAATCTTATCCAGGGATGTCTGTTGGAGATGATCAAAAAAGACCAAGATAGTTTTTGCTATTTGTTGAAATCCTATCCTTTTTTTTAAACACTTGTCTCCTGGGTGCTTTGCATAAAAAGGGACAAGACTTCACTGGTAGAGTTGCAAAGCACAATCCCTGAACACCAAGAATAGGACTGCCTTTGATGGGAAGAATAATATCTCCTTAAT